TATACTCCGGCATATGGTGATATATAAAATAGAGATGAAGCCGTGGAGTCTGATTACTTCAGGGATATTGATGATGATGGTCCTTAGGCTGAAAATTCACTCTATGGAGAGGGGTCAATCTAACCTAGGCTTTCACTACAGTATCCTAACGCGAGAGACCCCCGAGCACATGCCTTTCTAAACCATAGGCTGAGTTGACGATGCATACCAACACGTCGTCAGATGCGAATTGGTTACGTGAGGTAATGGATCAGGCGTAGCATTCATGGAAGTCCGCACACGTTGAGGCTTTGCCCTTACGCATCCACTAGTGTACGTCCCGTGTTCTTCCCCTCCCAGGCCTATACCCTAGAATGACCTGGGCTTGTGGTCCTCGCTGGTCACGCTAAGGCAGGATGATTCTTGGTCTGACTAGCCGAAACATATATTTGGATGTGAAGGGGTTGCATTTCCCATTGCTGAAAGCCAATGCCGACTGACCTATTGCCTCTAATCAAGAGGCACTACTGCACCTATTACCTTTCTTTATCCCCTTCTCGTAGCAAAAATCAACTTCCTAATATTCCTCTCTCAGGGTAACAGCAGCAGCGAAATTTGCCATGCTCCTTCTCTCGGCACAGAATAGCTCCAGCAAATATGAAGCCTCATCTCCCCGGTGCTGTAGAGAAATTGAATCTCGCTTTTGGAAGATAGGAATTGCGTTCCATTTTTTTTTATCCCTCCCTCCTGGGGAGGAGGGAGGAAAAAAGTGTGGCCGGATATCGTGCCGAAATTTTCGGATTCAAGACTACTTCAACCTTCGTATCGGCGGCTGGCTCTTCTGTTTTCTTTTTAGTGTGATACATTTTTGTGCTAAGTTCATGAGATGAGCCGTGGTTAGTAGTGTTTGATAGATGTGGTGGGATATCATCACCTCAGTTCAATGAGGTTATTTTTGACATTTTCATGAAAATGGGATAATGACATCCAAATAACCCGCATGGAGAGTTGATTCAGGATATATACAGACTTTGTGTGAATTCCCTTTAGAATGGCTACAATTAATGATTTATCATGGTTCTATCTGCCACGTTCTCAAACATTCAGTTGAACAAGGTTCTGTCTAAATTTCCTAGATAAAAGATAAAGACTAAACTCTGGAGACTTTTGATAGGCGGCTCCCTATTGCCATCACCCAATCCGGGATTATAAGCCAATCAGATATCGTGTTACAGCTAACACCATCCGATGAAATTTTGCCTAGCTTCTAACTCATGTTCAAGGAAGTTTGTGGCACAGGTAGAGGCTGTATTTCAAGTGTGTGTTTCAATTGAAGGGTAAAAGGTAAACTGGTTCATCTGCAAATTTGGTTTAGTGCTCATAGAACCTCGTTCCTTTCATAGAAAATGACCTTTTTTTAATTATGTAAAAGACTAACTTATCTTACAATACATGCAATTTTCCTCGCTTTTAACGTGACTAATACAAGGCAAGGTGCATGTCTACCTGAACAACCTGTCAAAAATGCATGCAGTACTTTGTGGGGGGAGTCTCAGCATAGGGAAGAAACTGGATCTCAGATGTATGCCTATATGCCTAAAGTGGACAAAATGAACAACAAAGGCTTGTTGAATAGAACGCAAACCTGGAAGTATCAGATGATGTAAGACTTAGGCTGACTATTGAAATGAAACATTCATGTTTAATTATTTATATTTCTGTTTCTTGAGCAAATGCTAGGAGGCTGAATTTTGGACGAATTTTTTGTCAGAGAATAATTGGGAGATCTTGGTTGGGGTCGGATAGAACCCTTTATGACAGGCCTTCCAAGAGGAAGTTCCTATGAAGGAGGCTCCATGGTACTGTCTCACGAACTGATAAAATTTTCAGGAACTGAAATGTATTGAGGCATTTAAGCATTTACGGCTTGCATTGCAAGTCTTCACAGAGTGCCACGTCTACAACAAGTATCAATTTTACCAAATTATGCAATGTACAACTTGCAGAATCCTCTGGAGTTTCACACCCATTTTCTCGAGGTAGGAAAATTGTAACATAGAACCTTGTTGAACTGAGGTGCCGATTTCCCATTCGCGTTCAGCCTCAACATCGCGAAGATCGTCACTGTCAATCAGCTACCTTCCTCACCGTGCAAACGCGCTGTATAATTCGTTATAAAATGCAAAAATAAAAACGGATTTAGTTAAGTCTTTTGTTTTTTAGGTACTGTACTTTGCGTTTGTCTTTTGGTAACGTACCTTCCGATGGCGGGAACCGCCACCCCTGACCTAATTAAAATCAAATTCACAGTGAAACAATCAACATAAAAAAAGAATGCACACAATTTGAGAATATGCCGTCGCATAATGGAAACACGTTTCGCATTCGCAGTGAGGTGTCGATCTATAACCATACGCCACTAAATATGAGACCTCTGCCGATAGGATGCCACAGCCTATGGCCTAGAACGGCAGAGCATCGTCGGCTTTGCGTGTTAGGAAAATGGCCTAAAACTTGCGGCCTCGCTCATTTATGGTTCACTGAGCGTTCTAGCATCGACAATGCCTTTCTTTTCGCTCACAGACGCTTTATCTCCTCTATGCTCCGGTTAATCAAGGAAAAGGTATGTTGCTTCCCTGGTGCTTCTCATAATAATTCATCGCGGCATCTCACAAAGGTTCCCATCAAAAGAAATATACAGCTTGGCCGCGAATGTACAAAGTATTGTATTATGCATACCTAATTGGGACTAAGGAAACATGGGACAAATGGTGTCCTTTCAATTAGTAAGTACCACTTTTTTACCTTTAGAGTTGCGGATACGGTTGTCGATCGCTGATGTCTCGCCGGTCCTCATAACTAGACTATTTATCTCAAGCAATGCACTTTTTTTTCCTGAGCCTTTGCTGTCGCAATGAATAAAATTAGTTCTCGTTCGTTACAGAAGTGCAGTTTTCTTTACGCTGATATCATTGGCTCTAATATTCATTCGGTCTCTGAGAGTCAGAATCAACCGAACCTAAGCCAAACGACAAACGGGTTTGTGTGTGACAGCTCCACAGGCGTCGAGAAATGAAGTGGAAGTTTGAACCTTAATCTTCATCATTGAAGGATGTGCTATTGCGAAAAAATCTGAAGATTTGAGAAAAAAAGTGGTTTTTCTCGCCATCTTGTTCCAGTCTGAGGCGGATCGGAGGGACACGCTCGCCGATCGGGTTCCCTCATGATGTCGGCCAGTGGGGAGGAATGAGTGCCCCCTATCCCGGCTGAGCAAATACGGTTGAGTGCGACTGCTTTCATATGCATGGTCCATTCCTCATCTAGGGCAATATAACCGATAACGGTTCCACTTGGTTGAGGTCAGGCCAACTACAGGGTGGGCCAAAAAAGAACAAAGCTGGCATTTTTATTGAGTCGTCGATCAGGCCTATAAAATCCTTACATTGAGTACACGGCCTACGTATCTAATGCCACCATTACCTGCAAGAGGAGGATATGCTTGTCTATAGATCATGCGCATTCCTTTCTTCTTGGCAGTCTTTGCTCCTCAGCGAAAATATGGAAAAATAAATGGCAGCCTTCTTTTCCAGTGAAACCAGGAGGCAGCGCTGCTCGTGGGATAGGCTTGCTTCGATATACGTGGCTTCGCCTGCACTTCACTCTCCTATTTTCATGGGTTATTTCATTACTGGCTACCATTTGGGATTTGTTGCTAATACTGCTTCATGAATGCCTTCAGAGGCATTCTGCGCTATACTTCTCAAAAGTCAAACTGATCAAAGCGTTGCAGCATTACTGCGAAGAAAACAATACAATCGATGATATTAATCCAGTTCTTCGGGTTTCCAGCGTAAACGTTTTGGTATTATTGTACTTGATATGACGATTTGTTAAATACCGCCCTAAGAAAGTAAACACCAGAAGGATATGTTTAATTTAAAGAAAGTACTTGTCAAGTCAATAAAAAAAAAGGAAAAGGACCAACGATCGATTTGTAAACAGGGATGAAGCGGAAAGTGTCTCGGACTCATGGGAGACGGATTTGTGCCAAAGAAGGCCTTTTTATGACAGCGCATGGAAAACATCATTTTCGTGACGAAAGAGATGTATTAGTAAAATAGCGACGGGTAGAAAGTTATTGGAAGGTTGAGAGGGAATGGCTTGTCGTAAACAGTGTAGTTATTATGATCCACGATGCGGATTCATCTCCCGGGCCAAAAGTAAGCCAATTTTCCTTAGGAGAATACGTTCCCAGAACGTAGCGACTTCATTCTATAACAGGCAAAATGGATTCGAACTCAATCCTTCATTCCCTCTGGGTGAGGAGTGGAAGGGCAGAATTTGCGGACAATCCGTACAACATTATGGGTGGACCATTCCCTAAAAGGTGATTTATTTGCCACATTAAGAGGAAGATGAGCCTCCAAATCTCCTATCCATAATAGAGGTACTGCACTGTGCATGACCATGTATTACACCAGTACTGGCTTAGTCCTGTTGAGGGGAACATCTCAATGACTGGGTAAGGAGATGACGTACAGTGAAAACTCGTTAACTCGAATCCTGATAAGTCGAAATTCCGCTTATCTCGAAATTGAATGCTTGGTCCCGGCGGAACCCCGTAGGACACCATGTAAAATGCTCCGTTTAACTCGAATTCGCTTACCTCGAATTTCCGGATATCTCGAATGACATTTTCACTCCCGATAACGATTTTCTCACGGTTAACTCGAATTCAGGGTGTGAAGGGGGGAAAAATTCTTCTCTTGGGACTTTTCGATTTTTGAATAGGATGAATGACAAGAAACCCGTTCGGAAGGATGTTCTTTTATTTCTTTTGTTTTTTTTTCTGCTTCCGGGAGGAGGGTGCGTCTGCGGACACCTCTCCTAATTTGGACTCCTAATTTTGGCTTTTCGAAGCCGATATTTTTTCGTTGGAGGTTGTAAGCGAGACAGATAAATAGCGAGAGTGAGGCTCGGTAAGTAGTCATATTCTACTTCCTTTACGGCATTTGTGTGGAATGAGTTCACTCGAGAGGAAATTGAAGACTCTGACGCCCGAAGAGAAGGTATACTTGATTCGGACTGGCGAAGAAGGTCAGCTGAAGAAGAAAGGCATCGCAGAGAATTTCGGGATTCCTCCCTCTACTCTCTCTACCATTATACGCAGAAAAGTTAAGGTTTTGAGTGCACATGNAAGCATGAGGACGTGGAAGCGGCTCTCCTGAGATGGTTTAGTGAATTCCATGACAGCACCACTCCCGTGTGCGGAACACTGAAGAGAGAAAAAGCTGATCAACTTGGAAAGGAACTTGGAGCTGATTTTAGCGCAAGTGTTGGCTGGCTGGAACGATTCAAGCACCGTCATGGCATCGTGTTCCGACGAATTTGTGGGGAAAGTGCAGATGTTCCACAGAAGAATGCGAAAGTTGGATCGAGGAAGAACTCTTGCATGTTCAAGGTTGCTACAGGCCTGAAGATGTGTTTAATGTTGATGAAACGGGCTTACTTTTCAAGTTGATGCCAGACAAAACCATGACTTTTCTCCATGACCCTTGCCTTGGTGGGAAAAGAGCAAGGACAGAATCACAGTCCTCGTTGGTGCAAACATGGATGGGTCCGAAAAACTCCCACTGTTGGTGATGTGGATGATAGGAAAATCCGCAAAGCCACGATGTTTCAAGAACGTGAAGTCCCTGCCTGTTCGTTACAAGTCATCGAAGAAGGCTTAAATGACGTCAACAATATTCACGGAGTGGCTGATGCAATTGGAAGATAAGATGCTGAAACAGAAAAGGAAAATTCTAGTGATTGTTGACAACTGCCCTGCTCATTCACACGTTCAAGGTCTGACAGCGGTGAATTTGTTGTTTCTCCCTCCTAACACAACCTCCAAACTTCAACCTATGGACATGGGAGTGATTCGCAATCTGAAGGTGCACTGCAGGAAGCGACTCATCCAAGGCATCATTTCCGCCATTGATGAAAAGAAAGAAGTGTGTGTGACTCTACTCGATGCAATTCACGTGTTGTTTTTGGCATAGAAACACGTACGGTCGTCCACTGTTGCAAACTGCTTCAGAAAAGCAGGATTTGTGCACAGAAGTGATGTTCATGAGGAAGTCGAAGAGATGGAAACCTCATTTGAATTCAACGACTTTGTTCATTGCGATGATGACCTCATTGTTACTGAGCCAGTCACTGAGGCATCCATCATTGCCGACATCAAAGATCGCTCACAAGAGAGCGAGCCCGGGGATGAGAGTGATGGAGAGCAGGAGGCAACGTACCTTGCTCTACCGCCGTCTTTGAGCGATGCCAATGATGCACTAGCGATTGTGAGAAAATTCCTCCTCTCGCGCGGGGAGGTGCCAGTCGACTTGTTCGAGGCAGTAGGGAAATTGGAGGACTTCCACTTCTCTATTGCTTCTCTTCCACTTCTATTGCAAGTTCTTTTACGAAGCAAATGAAGATCACTGATTACATGTCTGAAAACGATAAAACCAAGAGAGCCCCTAGTGAAAGGCGTTGCAATAAATGAATTTTGCATGTGGAGTATTAAAGTTTCCTTTGTGATGAATAAAAGCCTATTATAATGGGAAGGTCGTCCCTCCGTGAAATCGGACTTTTGAGGGCGGAAAAATAGTTATGTCCCTAAACGTGAGATTTTTTTTTTTTTTTGGGGGGGAGGCGATTCCTGATAACTCGAAACGATTAGCCCGGTCCCTAAAAGTTCGAGTTAACGAGTTTTCACTGTATGTTCAAAAGGAATAAAATGTGATGAAACTGCGTGAGCGTATCACTTAAAATGCGGGGTTTTTCTACTGTCACCTTTTAAGTGCATCTTAAATGCAACGTCGTCATATTTTCCCTAGATATATGGAGTAGAAGGCGCCACTGAATCAGGAAAAAGATCGACGCTCAGCTGCCATCATGCATTGACAACAGTAAATATTGTGTTCCATCCCGTCGTGCTTTCTGAGCAGTGAAAATTCAGAGTGCCTTTTGGAACATTTTAATTTCTCCATAAGACTGTGCAAATGTAGAATATATTTGAAAGCCAGAAATATATGAAATTTTACATACTGGAAATTTGGCAGATTAATCATGACGAATAGACAATTCAACAATTCTGAAGGACAGGGGTCTAGGATTTTTGGGGCCACCTGGTATATAGTTCAGTATACATAGTGCTCATTAATGAGAAAATATCAAATGTGAAAACGCAGATAGGACTCTTTTGTCCCCTTGTATTACACTGTTTCGAGAGAATATGCGTTTCAAATACAATCAGAGCAAAATTATTCAATTTCATTTCATTTCGCGAGAAAATGTAGAACTTAGAGCACTTATAACATTGAACATAGGATATTCAATTCCCTTGATATGGGTGTATAAAAAAATGAAAATATGCGCTACTCGTGCGTTGTGTGAGAAGAGTAATAGTTACTAATGTATCATATGTATGATATGTATAATAATCATCGGAAATCCTTGCTAAATTCGCAAAATCCTTCTTAAACCATTCAAATTTCTTTGGCGAAAATGGCGTCAATGTAGGTATCCTTTTATTTAAAGGAATTAAGTTTAAATAGGATGTAGGAAATGCATATTTGGCTAGGACACTTTCACCCGAAGTACTTCGCAGGCCTAATACTAGTACTTTGTTATGGCCACCTAATTAATTCCGAAAGAGATAAAAACAGAAGAAACAAAGACGAAACAGTTATGTGAACACTCCTTGTTCATATAACTCATTACTCGTGATGGTAATAGGATATGGCTTAACTATTTCCACACATTTGTGATCGAAATATGTGTACTTGATAAATATTATTATCGAATATTTCCGAAAAGTTACACAATTTACCCACATTAGATAATTTACAAAAGCGTATATCGCAATACGTTCATCTGATTATCAATTGAAGTATTTTTATCACAGCACCTAAATATCCTTTGTGGGAATCCCTAGTCCTCATTAGCCGTCGTTCCCCTGCAAGCGAGGCGTTATTCTTGCTGAGACTTCATTAGGAACCATAACATTAGGAACTTTTTCTCTCCTTTCCTCATTGTACAACCTGTCCCGAAAATCCCTTCACCCTCATGTTTTCTTCGGGTGAATTACAGTGAGGATTTGTGAAGAAGACTGACGATTTGGCGAACAAAACCCTCTTACGTTGTCGAAGGAGTGTTATTAAATGTCACAACAAATGTAAAAATACATAAATAACTAATTGCAAGAGTTCCACTTTGCTACAGCATTCTACTAGGAATTCAGGAGGTTCAGGGGTAAAGGACTCATGGGACATCTTGTACATCTGTCCCTATGTATATCTACTGAGAAGTCAGTTTCTTCACAAATATATCTCCGGTGTCCAGATGTAATGAGATTCGTTTGTACATTTTAAATTCTAAAAACAGTGCACTTCCCCCTGCTCATACATATATATCAATATGTCTCTGTGATTGCCGATTTTCAAGTTGATCCGTTAAGAAGTGCTTACAGAGCAGACCTCAAAAGACAGCTCTATGAGCTCAGTGCAACGCAAGCCCTATTTAGCAATTTGGATATGGCTACAAGTGCTGAGAACTATCGCTTCTAGGCGTTCAAGCGGTTCAAATATGGCATCGCGATGGCTGTCTGTCACAAGGAACTGTGGCTCCTGGCAATTTTACCCCTTTCCGGTTGTTCACCAGCTTCAAAGCAGAGCTTTCTTTTCTTGGCCAGCCCCACAGTGGCCATTCAAGTTCCACCCGAGCACACTGCTTGTCCAGACAGCGCGAGAGCTGGTGGATTAGGACTACCCCGTGAACTCTCGAGAGTTGGCTGAGTGGTTTGCTGTTAGCAAGAGCACTATTCATGAGGTGCTCACGCAAGACCTGCAACTGCGCAATGAGGCATCAGTTTGGGTACCTCGCCAACTGACCGAGGACAACAAAGCGGTTCGTATCAATGGCGTCACGCACATCTGGGGCATTTTTTCCCGCGAAGGCATGGAGGCCTCTGCAGAAAGCCTCTGGAGAAAACTCAACGAGGCCAAAGGCCTCCTTCATCTGACAGGCAGCAGCCGCAATACCAAGTTTGAACCGCGTGAACGTGTAGAAGCGAAAGTTCTCAGGGCTTGTAGCATATCTGAATCGGTGAAAACAGTCCGCGTTGCACTGGGCTCAGAGCAGTCTTTTGAGGTATGCTTTGTACTTCTTTGCACTTTGCACTTTTTAATGGATCGACTTGAAAACCGGCAATCACAGAGGTTATATGATGTTCTAAATGCCCGAGGAGTGAGAAGTTCACTGCTTGTAGAACTAAAATTTACAAACGCTTCTCATTACTACTTAACCCACGGGAGAATTCCATAACCGACTATTCTGCAATCATTTCATACTGATCATTTCAGAAGATGGCAGACGTATATCAGGAGCTCAAAAAAATTCGGGAAAGCAGCCGGGTTTTCCGAGAGAGTGTCCATGTGGGAATCATAAAAAAGCAAATCGAAACAATGGAGAGATCTATTGATTGGGCCCTAGAAATGATCCTCCAATGCCAACAGACAGAAACACCAATCCAATGGATCAACTCTTCGCCTTTCTTGCCAGATCCTCTTCAGAAGTGGCTCGACTACAAGATATTCGAAGTAGAAAAGTTCGAGCAGTTGAAGCAGAATTTTATTGGAGCTGGAATAGAAATGGTTGAGTTCTCATCAGTAAAAAAACGGAATAAAAACTCACCATTTGCTTTGTTTCTCTACAAAGCGATCAATGCAGACGATCCATTTCTTGACTGCTTGCATTTTTTTGCTGAAAACGGAGAAATGTCATCATTTGAACCATTGGCTGCATTACAGGAATCCAGACATAATTGGCAGATGTTGATGGAACAGCAGCGCCTTTTCCTGCTTTACTCAGATAATCCGAAATTACAAACCATGAAATTCCTTGCAGGCGAAACTCACAGTGGAACATTTGAAGGCCCATGCAAAATTATGGTGAAAGAAGGAGGGGAAGGCGATCCTGTAATGTTCACTACGCCAGGAGAACCATCAGATGTTCAAGTTCAGCCATCACAGTGTGGAACAGCAGTCGAAGTCCATTGGAACGAACCTGTCATTGGAGGGGACTGCGTGGAAGAGTACTTCATCTGGTTTAGAGCAGAAAACGATCCTTCCCAAAAATGGAAATATATACGGACTGCAAATTCGCCAAAAAAAATACCTCGTCTACCCGTGGGAACATACCGTCTCAAGGTTCGATCTTGGTCCTATCATCTATCTCTGCCGGTCCGTTTCCTCTTGCGGAAGAATGGTTTTTCCATACAGGTCAGTGCTTGGAGTTGTCTTGGACACGGACCTTGTAGCCCGACTGTTACCTTTCCCATCAACAGCAAGAAACAGCATTTGAACTTATCTCGAACGTCTGTGCCCATAACTGTCCGAGATGATGAAACTACAGATGCATGTGCAAATTATGAAAGTGGTAAAGGACCAGAAGAAGCTCCAAGGATCATCGGTCAGAAGGACCTTGCGGGAAAAGCATCGTCTTTTGATATCAATGTATCGATATGCAAGGATTTCTTGACGTCTCAGGACTGCAGAGAAGGAACTTGCCAATCCTTGCATATTTGCTCGAGGCATCTTCTCGACGTTTGCACAAGTAATGAGTGCAAAGACGGCCATGATTTCACAGGTCACAATCTCCTTGTTATCAGTAAACGGGTGAGTTTCAGGTCGGTATCAATGTATCAGCCCCTGTTTCTAAACATTCCGCCCATTGAATTTCCTGTGGAAATGAACAGTCTATAAACAGTATATGAATTGAATAAATAGTATATGAACAATATACAGCGAACTTCGGCCAGTAATACCAACTCGTAATTTATGAATGGCTTTGCCTTCTTTCCTGCAGGTAACTCCAATCTTGCATGATAGTATTCCATCCAAACAGCACACTGTCCATTCTCAGGGCAAGCCTGCCAGTACTCCCGACGCACCACCCCCACCTGCCCCTCCTCATCCCAATGATGAGGGACCGGTGGAAACTACAATCAACTATAACGTAAAGGTGAGACTGCCAATAATTGTAGTCAAACATTCGATGTGAATGTCAATGAGCCAGTAATAAATTGTACCGTCTACAGCGCCCAAAGGAAATGGACACAGAAGCTTGTGAGAACCTAATGAAGGAAATTCGAGAGAGAGGTGGGGCAGCCAAAGCCAATCTGAGGCCTCCAAAGGGAAGGGTAAGATCTACGTTGATGATTCATAATTCCATCAAAAAGAAGTCGAAAGCAACCATAAATCCGTGAGATTGAGATGATGATAGAGTGTTTAACATTTGCTTTTGACGTGCAAAGCTGTATTAAGTGCTGAGAATTTCCTTTCCATACATTGACTTCCAACAAATTAATTGACGTTTCAAGTACATGAATGTTCAATGGAATGTGCATAACTATGTTATTGGGTCACTCCTGTACCTATGAATCATAATATACTTTTTTTCCCGAGAAATTTCCTTGAAACAGTCATTGAAGAGAAACAAGAATGGGACTAGAGAAAGCAGGACTACAGGACTACAATGACACGATGCTTACGATAAAATCGTTAACATCGCATTGCAAATTGTTTCATAGATTGAATCGCACACCGTGCACTCCATTCGTGATTCGAAGATTTATTTTTCCAGAGATGAGCCCTGCACGTGCTGTGGTTCTGCTCGATCTGCTCAACCGGCGGGCCGTCTAGGGCCGAAATTTCCAAGATCCTCCTCTGAGTCGTGTCTGGTTGGGCAGAATTTTTAAATTGCATTTTTTAGGTGTATCGCTCCTCTGGTCCCACACGATGGAAACTCCATGCCATAAAATGAATCATACTTACGTATGTAATCCGAATGAAGGAAAATACTTCATTGTGTTTCATTAATATAAATAAATGTCGAAAGAAGGGAAATTTCGCTAATTTTTTTCCACTTTAAGAAATTTGCTCCTGTGAGTCAATAGTCGACAACTTTGTTTTTTGCATAGCAATTTTAAATGAAGAGGAAATATACAGGAAAGCTTAGGTTGAAGTGTTCAGTGTTTGCTCTGGTCGGGTCAGGAGCGGGCCATAATTTAAGTCGGGCCTATCGGGTCGGGTACCGGAAAATCGACCCACGCTGGACTCTATTCCAGAGACAATACTTTCAGAAATATGGATACTTGTAGTATTATTTCCATAGGCTTCATGCTTCTTAGTAGCACCCTTTACGTGACACAGCTAAGTGAATGCGTGTCACGTTCCAAACAATAGTTTTCTGTTTGCGTTTCATGTCATAGCCGATTTATTTGAGTTCCCATGATTGATCAAGTCAAAATAATAGTCTAAAAGGTCTCTGTTCCATAAATCGCACAGACGAGGTGCATCTCCCATCAAAATGGTGGCGATTTTTGCGAGGTGAGGTTGAACCCGAATAAGAATTGTTGAAGGAGGTCCCACAGGATAGCGATGAGCAGTTGTTGCTGGTAAAAAACGGTTGGTGCTGGCGCGGAAACAACGTTTGCGGCTAGCACCGATATAGGTACTTCGCACTGCAACTGCAGTGGCAAACGTTGTTTCCGCGCCAACACCAAACGTTTTTTACCAGCAACAACTGCCTCATCGCTGTGGACCTCCTTGAAACCTCCTTGACATAAAGCGGAAACAGAAAACTATTGCACGGAAGCGATGGCCCGAACCGCCAAACCTGATCTAACGAAAAAAGTACATAGAAAAAAAACCCTTGCAAAGAATGTACAAGATATTTAAATGAAGAACTTGCAGTCGACCAGTGAAAACGTGACACACATTCAGTTAGTAGCACCCTTTCCTTGACACAGGTAAGGATGAAGCCTATGGAAATAATAAGATGAGCCACAGCCTATGGCTCAGAATGATATAGCTCGATGGACCTGGGGCTAAAAGCGTTGGATGGCCAAGCCTATGGCCCAGAATAGTATAGCCTAATGAACCTGGCACTTTAAGGGATGGATGGCCGAGTCTATCACCTGATGTGACATAATCTCGTAAGCCTCGCGCGTTGGGGTGACAACCACCATCACAACTCTCGGGCTCTTAGAATTAAAGTATAAGATGGCCTGGAAAGCCTTGTAGGCATTGGCCCATAGGCCAGGCCGTGGATGGCCTGGCCTATGACCCCGAATGGCATAGCATTGTAGGCCAGCGCGTTGGGGTGAGAGCCACGATCACTACCACCACAACTTTTGACCTGTTCGAATTAAAGTATTAGAATGCCGGTTCCAGAATCGGTGGTATCTGTGCCATAAGCTAATGCTAATAGCCCATGAGCTAATCGGGGACGCAAGAGTATTGAATGTGCTGGGACAACAAATCAGCAAAGTCGTCTTGAGTCTCATGAAAACCTGCTAAACCGATGCGTTCACAATGGCGATTGTGGCAATCAGCTCGAATATCATGATAATCTGTTTAAGAACAACACCTCCATGTATACTGTAAGCTGTATGTGTATAAATTGAATGAAGCGGTTCAGTTCCGAATGGGCAATGCGATGAACAGAGGATGTCAAAGAGACGTTATGCTCACAATAGACTATTCACATTTCTGCCTATTAGACGGCCAGCGTAGCGACCGCAGGCCGCCAGTACCTGTATAAAGGTGATCGTGAATGACTAAGGTCCAAATGCTGAAACCTCCTTCGGTTACCGATCCTTTAAGGAGAAAACAGACTGTTTGGTTAAAGCCTCTTTATCGTGGAATGCACACACCTCCTTTAGCCTTCTGCTAAACGGTCCTTTAACAGGTGTACCGCCACGAGGCGCACCAGTGCGCCTCACTGAATGGGAAAATCAATAGAGCAGCATTGCCGTGACGGTGCACGTGTAAACTAATGGGTCTGTAAGAGACAGATGTGAGAAGGCACCTCTTGGCATCACTGCTGATTCTACTTGGTTTGAAGGCCTAATCTGCCGGGAAATGATTGATTGCCTTGTGTGAACACTGATGGTTGATGTTGCTTCAGCACAAGTGGGCTGATGTGGTAAAACGGGTTTGGTGGCAAAACGCTGAATCTCATTCAGTAGAAAGGACTGTTAGTCGAACTTCGTATTGTCGAAATTGTTTATGTCGAAAGACAAAGTAGGAAGAACAAATTTTAGAATCTTAGAATGATGAAATTGGCTTTTATAATTGAAGCCATATTGTCAGGTACGCCTTGTCATTTGCTGAAATATGCCCGTTCGTAGTTCATCAAATTAGAGGCGGAGATCGTGGGCAATGTTTTGGAGAAATCCAAGGATGTCCCTGTTGACGTAATCGCGACACACGGTTTGAAGTCATTTACGAGGAACAGTTGTCACCAAAAAAGCCACACCCAGAAGTTGAGCGATCTTGATGAAATTCGGTCACCATACTCGTATTAGTGCGTCATGAAATTGATGGTGGTATCAAGGTCGTCGGTTTAATATTCGCAGAGAAAACTTGTCAAACATCCCAATTTAAATGCTGTCGGAAGGGTCATACTCATCACCCACAAATAACATCTAGAAGAAATTTAGTAATGAAAGGCTGAACAGGAACTTTTACTGCTGTTTAGTACAATGAAGCAAAGTTTCAAGGTCATACGATGAAGCGATGCAGGGAAAACTTGCCGAACTAGCCGAACGCCCGGAGGGATGGGGAAAAGTGCGACTACACTGATCAGGCCAGTTTCCTTTTCTGATTCCCTCAATTCATTATATTGGTACCTCGCTTCAATCGTTTATTTTTGGTCTTTAAAGCCATGCCAGAACGACGTCCACAGAGGAAGTTTCTCCAGCTTCACCAGTTCCATCGAGGTTAGTTGGTTGGCATGATGGAGGTAGGCCATAGCATGCATGAGGTCGTGCATCGGCTAAGTGTAAACTATGGTGTGGCGTTGGTGGACTCGGTATCAGAATGGGGCAAACCATGAGCGGCAACGAGGCCCCCCTCGCATCCCGACGCCCAGGGATGACCGGTATTTGAGGAAGTTGATTCTCCAAGACCGAATCGCTTCTACCCTTGTTCACGGAAGGTACTGGAAGTGGGGACAGGTAGTCAGTTCCTCGAGACCGCAGTATCTGCTGGATTGCACGCTGGTACACAATCCTAAAAGAAGTCCTTTGGCCCGTCCCCAGCCACCATCACACCAACTAACCGACCTCGATTGACCTGGTGAAGTAGGCGAAACTGCCTTTGTGAACGTGGTCCTGCCATTGGTTTAAAGACAAAAAATAAACAATGGGAACAAAGCAGTGTGGATGGAGGGAAGCAGAAAAGGAAATGGGCCTCATGAGTGTAGTCGCCCTTTTCCCCATCCATCGGGGTGTTCGGCTAGCTCGGCAAGTTTTCCCTGCATCGCTTCATCATAGATATCAAAATTTCATGACGCACTAATACGAGTATGATGACCAAATTTCATCATGATCGCTCAACTCTTTATTGGTGACTTTTTAGGCGATGAGTATATCTTTCGCTTGATCTATGCGCTTACGTTTCTTTGGTGATGATCAATTTCCAGTTGGCATATCTCTCGCTTCGTAAACGTTTGCTCTTCCATGATTTCCTGAAGAAATAGGAAAATATTTGGATGCGAATTATCAACAACTACTGGAAACCTACGATGGCATCCTTCTACGCTATTGTTCGTTCGCGGCTCTTCACGGAGAACTCTGTCGCGCACGTTCCATAAGGCTGGTGGATAGGGAACCTTCGCTCTTGGGCGCCCTTGGGTAAGACGACCATCGGTGTAATATTCCGGAAACACTGCCACCATGTTTAAAGACTCTTCAGGCACATTGTGGAGGAGGGTATACAATGCCTGGACTACTTCAGCCCAGGAACGAAGGCTAGTGCGGCCAGCACCCTTATGTTCAAAGAGAACTCCTCATCCTGCCTTTATGTCATTGCAAGTCCTGCAGTCTGGACTTTCCTCTAAATGATTTGTCAGAAGTGATGGAAGCATGTAGAGTGCTGTGCCCAAGGCATGATGGACTTCACTGCTGCAATAATCGTACTTTCAAATTCCGTAATGAAATGGGTCACAGAGAGGTTAAAACCCAAACTCTGGATCTCGTGCAGAATATTCCAGGACAGTGCAGGACCCTTAAGCATTTCTTCGTAGCAGGTTTCATCCTTTCCCCTCATGATACAATGCACTTGAGGAAGCATGTTGTCAAAAACTGGGGCGTGAGGAATCATTTTTTCCTCCCCACCTGAGGCGACACTTGGAATGTTCCATCACCGTACCAAGAAGATGCCTTTGCTAGTTGAAGATTATCGTCAGTAGCGAATAAGAAGATGCGACAGGGGAGTCATACATCTAAAATCAACTAGTTATCACCCTCGGGTGATTTCTTGAAGGCTTCTTGCAATTAAAAGTCATCATTANGCTTTTCATTGATGATGGCCTAAGTAGCAGCGCCGCCATCGGCTGCTGATGCCACCTCTTCCCGAAATCGTTTCCTTCCTGCGTCAGTCGACATTGGAGGACGTGAGTGGTTTGCTGTAACTTTAACATAATTACTCCCTGTTGTAACGGCTGTTGCCCGAAAAGTTCTATCTTGGCACCTCCAATACGTGCTGCCATTTGCAGTTTTGTCTCTCGTGAAGGGGTAGCCATTATGAATCAACGGCTCTTTATCCCTTTGCGTCTTTGTGAATGTCGGGGAGGGTTGTAATACCCAAAATATTGCATCTCCATTTTGTCCTAAACATAATTTAGGAACATCGGAAACTATTCAAGATGGTTCATGGATCATGCACGATAATGAATATTAATGAACTCACAATTCCCTCTCCCAACATTAGCACTGGCAATGACGAAGCACGAACGGTTGACACTGAAAGGAACTTCGTCCAGATCGTGTAGGGGGAATGAAAGGGTTTGAAAAGAGAAGTCCACTATAAAGAGGAAAAGTCAGGTGAAGATCATAAAATGGTAAAATGACAGCCTGTCCTCTCTGAGGGTGTGACGCAGAAGATATTCATGATCGTGCGACGCAGAATGGTCTTCGACTTTGTCTATCTTTCTCGACTTAAGTAGCGTCATGTGTTTAGTCCATTTGACAAAAGATCCTGCTCGAACTATTTTCTTACGACAATATGGGAATTCGACCACATTTCCAATCGACAAAATGGAAATTGACCATGTGGTTAGGTACTCGACCTTCTGTCGAATACCCGTTAAAACGTGCACTTTAGCGGAAAAACAAAGTGAGGGATTTTCATTTCCTAAGTTGTTACTTGCTTCACGAACGAAAACAAAAACCTGGAGAACCAGTTCGGTTACAGAGCAGTCTTCCCACTGGCAACCATGACGCTGAGGTTACCTCCCCTCACTATTCCAAATTTTTCAGAAAGCAAAAGGTGACATTCTTACGTCAATGACATGCATAAATATAGCTTTTCTAAAACAAATATGGACGTAAGAAAGTCAAATGTGTCTTTCAAAGTCAAATGCGACTTTCCTTGTCGCATTTTTGCTGATGTCGGCGCTGCTGGCATCAGCAGCTGATGGCGGCGCTGTTACTCAGGCCATCAATGAAAAGGTTAGTCATCAATGGATTAATGATTTACGCCTTTGTCGCACAACCTTTTTTCCCTCTATCCCATGTTCTTTTAGATATCGCGTGCTCTCGCCAGTCGTAGACCTTATCTTCTAAGCCAAGATGCACTGAAAACCCTTTGTAACGGAAGAAGTTACACCCAATGTCTCAATAATCTTTTAATGATGACTTTTAATTGCAAGAAGCCTTCAAGAAATCACCCGAGGGTGATAACTAGTTGATTTTAGATGTATGACTCCCCTGTCGCATCTTCTTATTCGCTACTGACGATAATCTTCAACTAGCAAAGGCATCTTCTTGGTACGGTGATGGAACATTCCAAGTGTCGCCTCAGGTGGGGAGGAAAAAATGATTCCTCACGCCCCAGTTTTTGACAACATGCTTCCTCAAGTGCATTGTATCATGAGGGGAAAGGATGAAACCTGCTACGAAGAAATGCTTAAGGGTCCTGCACTGTCCTGGAATATTCTGCACGAGATCCAGAGGTTGGATCTCGTTCTTCATGTTCATGTATTAATAGTTCATATTTATTTTCCCATCTACATATGTGACAAAAATAGTGGAAGGTTAAGTGATTATCATTTTAACGAAGTCATTGTGAAGTGAGGCTGCAACGATGGAATCTACTATGAATGTGCTTATTTTACTAATAAGGATGTCCAATCTAGATCCTTTGCTAGATAGGCAATGGATTACGTAACAATGCATGCATAGGCAAGATCCAGAATATCCTGTGAACGTTCGAGTGAACGGTCTCGGTCGACCTAACATTTTAATGGCAATTCTAAGTTCTAACGTTTCTGTCTGTCCAGCTAGAGTAGAGTTCCATGTGATTCACATGGGCTTTAGCGAACAGCCTCATGGCGTGTTAACAGCCAATATCACAGATTAGTTGAATTTTCAGTGACCTACCGCTATGACCCAAGAGGAAAAATATGAGAACCATTTGTATGTGAACTTTGTCAATGCCTCAGGGTAAGGTAAACCTCATCATGCTAATGTACTGGTCACATGCGCAATTTCCTTGCCAGAAGAGATACGAAAAACAGGGCTTTCAATGTAGGTATTCCTGTGATGTATTTTTGGAGAAAACAATAGTGATTGAGCAGACAGTATTATTATATATTATGGATATCAGGATATTCTCTTAAATTTTCTGCAGGATGCCAAGGATAACCTGGATGGAGCTGCGGGCTTGGAGGCAGCACTTCGCAAAAGGTTGATAGAGGTACATGCAGCTAATTCAGGGGAAGAGACCAAATCTATTGTTTCTGGAAAAGATAATGGTTTTGAGGATAATTTGACATGGAACGAATAAATGTGCGTGCGCAAAATAAACAATTTTTGCCTGAAAACCATGTCATGCATGTGCCTAGTGTCACCTTTTTATTTTCGTCGAATCCACTAGAACAATTTAATTAATTTCAGAAAACGCCACATTCTAAAAGAAAGCCTGTCCCAGTGCATTTATTGAAAACATCGCATTTTTTCTGAATTCAGTATCTCCGTTGGCACATTTATGCCAAGTTTTGTCATTCCATGTCTCTCGATTTGACTGAAGCCAAAAAAAATTCTTGAAAAATATATTTCACCAAAGTACGCATCCTCACGGTATCTACCTCCAAATTCTGAATTTTTCTGAGCTCAGGATCACAATAGGTACTTTTTCACGAAGGTTCAAATTTTTAGTTCTCTAGAGCATAGTTAAATTTGCCACTCGGTCGCGATCGTATACAGTAAAAAGCTAAAACACTATATACAGTAAAAGTACCTATATGTTTGATGATTTGAAGAAGCGAAAAATCTCCGTTTGCTAGTTTGTCAATAACGTCAGATAACGAGATGTAACAGGACAGAGCAAAGAATTATGCCCATCATACCAGGATTTCACCATGTTGGTTAAAACGGGTATTTCACATGAATTAACACTTTCGCTGCCATACGACCCGCCAGCGGGTCGTACAGGTCCTTTCTACCAGATCATTGACCTGCCGACGGGTGGTTTGCATTGCTTTGCGTGATACGATCTATGGAACTCTTCCTTTCATCTTACGAATTTTATCGTCGCCTTCTGATGAGGCCAATTTAAAATCAAATTGTCGGTGTTTCATTTCTCATTTCTTTTTTACAATGTATTCAATATAAGCATATCTCCGTATAAGGGTGAAGTGGAAATTACTTCTTCCTCATTTCTGCGTATAGGGCATATTACGGGAGTCTTTATATATAGTATGTACGTGGATATATCAAAAAGGTCCAGAACCGGTTTTCATATGAGCAAACTATGTGCAGAACACCTCATTTTTGGAAACAGCCAGAAGTCGTAAGGTTCGAGGTCCAAAGAATACAAAGAATGTGGGAGCAATGGCACTCCAAGATTGGTTAGAAATTTAACGGTACGACATAGGTACCGTTTGATTGTCGATAGTCATTACGGACAAACTCAGTTTCGTCATTACGGCTTGTCGATTGCCGCCCCATGCGTTCATCATCTCCAGTGGATCCCCACCTTTCACGGAATCGCTTGTCATGCACACCAGAATTAGGAGAATTACTTTGGCCGCAGGGGAACGGCCTCCGAATAATGGCTTGGCAGCGAAAGTGTTAATCATTATCTCAGATAATCGAGAACCGAAAGAACCATCACAGCGCGTATAAAATATATTTTGTTAATAATAAAGTATATTCTGAATTACTTTTTGAGATGAGTTACCAACCAATATATTTTCGCTAGGTCCAATTCGTTAGGACAAAAAAAATATTGAAAAACATCATCCCCAAAAAATTTGTTCCCAGGGCATCCATCTGAAACGTTAGATTTATCCTAAACGTAATGTCTCAGTAGGCATGTTCATATCAGGTTTCAGCTTTCCATACCTCTCCGTTTGAATGAAGCAAAGATATATCTAACTTTTTGGGGGGAGACCGCCAAAAATGTGTGCCCTTAGAGCGTGTATATCTGATCAGTGAATTTTTCAAACTATCCATCCCAATAGCTATCCGATTACCAATTTTCACGTTTATAATTTCTCTAGAACATTGTTTTAATTAACATCAGTCACTAATTCACTCAACCACGATCGTCTATATATATTACTAGAAAGTTTGTTTGCCCGAAGGGCAAACAAACTCGCTATGGTCTCGCCTTCGGCGCTCAATTACCTTGGATAGTGATTAATTCATTCATTTTGGCGAAATGGGAAACACGTATTAAAGTACGTCCCTATTGAAATACGTGACATATGGGGACGAAAGTCTTGATTTTCATCAAAATCATTACTTCTATGATTCTATGTGTGCCTAACTTGAAATATTGATACATTTTGAAATACTTCCCTCCAATAATCTACGTTAAGGAGACTTTTTTCAAAATTTGGATTTTTCCTATACTCAGCCATCAAACAGGCACTTCTGAGGGAAGTTAAAATTTTCTATCTCTGTTTCGTTGGATCAAAAGATAATTCAGGAAAATGGGACTAAAAAAAACTGTCCTAATGGGTTTTAACCAACTTCTTTTTTTTTCTTTTTAAATGTAGACTCAGGGAACTTCATGCCACCCAGTTTCAGCCTCATACGTTTCCCCTTTTTGCTGGCGGAAAAAATGTATTTGGAAAAGCGACCCTCCCAAAAGCTGTGCTTTGAGGAGACGTATAAAAAAAGATGAATTTTTCCTTAAATCAACATGACGTCAGTGACGAGTGCGCCAGCTACATTTCCATGTCTGCCCGGTGAACTACATGCCCACAAAGTTTCAATATTATACATTTGCCCTTTTCTCTGGTGAAAAAACATGCTTGGAAAAGCCGACGCAGCAAAAAGCTATGCGCAGAGGGGATGCCCCATGAAAGCTGAATACTATCTCTGCTCAGTAATATCATGTCACTTATGCTAAGTTTCACCTTTCCATTTCTGTCCAATTCGCCACAAGTTTTTTTTTTCAAAACATCGCACATCGAAAAAATTCCCCCACGGGATGTTTGGAGACTCAACATTTCTATTTAAATCTTTGTCTCAGTAGTCACAATCATGCAAAGTTTCAGCTTTTCATGTTCATCAGTTCAACTGATGAAAAAAAATTAATTGAAAACATCTCCCATTGAAATGTGTGCCCCCAGGGCATTTACTTCTAAAGTCTGAAATTTTCTGCGGTATCCCAGTAGGTAGCTATGTACCAAGCGTCATCTTTCCACACTAGTTCAATATGCCAGGACAAAAAATACTTGAAAATGTCGACTCACAAAAATATCCTTTCAGGGCATGGATGTAAAATGTTTCCATCTTTCCTGAACTCATTGGTTCTGTAGGCACGTCCATGTCAAATTTCAGGTTTCCATCTCTCTCCGTTTTACTCAAGCAAAAATAATGTTACGGAGGAGGAATGAGCAACGGGACATGGAAGGCAAAAAAAGCCAAGAGAGGCCGTGAATTGAACCCGGACATTCTGATTGCCAGTTAGAGCTGCTACTACTACACCACCGAACCAAGCACGTCCATTTGTCTCTCTGAATGCCATCCTCATATGTCACAAAATTTATTTCAGAAAAACGTTTCCCCAAAAAAATGTGTACCCCCAGGGCATCTACCTCCAAAGTCGGTTTGTTTTTGAACTCTGCATCCCAAAAGCTACATGTGTACCAAGTTTCAGATTTCTAACCCTTCTAGAACATGGTTAGTATTAGCGTCAGTCAGTCAGTCACGATGGTTTATATATATTAGAAATCTGATATATACGAGGTATAAGAATAAAGAAATTTATTTTGCCCTTCAAGCAAATGAACATGATTGCGAATGATTTCATGATCAATTAATTGCAACATCCGTTTTGACCAATCTAGCACAACTCCAAGTGTTTAGGCATATGTATTGCTCTTCCAAATAATTTCCGGTTATATGACGTTATTCGCAAACTAAGTAAAGGAGATATTTAGCATCTTAAAGAAGACCCACCCAGAGGTACGTCTATATCACTTTTTAGCCATCTACACTTGCTTTAATTCTTTTAGGTAAACCTTTGTTGGAAACGAACTACAAAAAAATATTTTTGCCGTGGTGAGATGGAACTAAAAACAATTATGAAATTCACTGGAATAATAATTTCCAGATAATCCTAACATACATTTTTTGCATCTGCCTCCATACTGTAATAATTTTCACAGAAAGGGTCTCCCCAAAAAGATTGCCCTCACAGGATATATCTCGAAAAATAGTTATTTCATAAATATGTGCAGTATTTGGGAAGGTAACTTGAGTTTAGTTTCTATCTCTTATTTTGTGAGAGCGAAAGTTCTTGGGAATAAATGTTTTGCAAAAAGTATAATGCCCCTTTGAAGAGGTACCTAAAAAATCGAGAAAATTCAGGAACATTTTCTGTTTGATGGGAAGGCAGCTCCTCCTACGCTAGATATCAGGTCAGCAACTACGGGTGGGAAGTGGTGGCAAGTTCCACTTGCCACCACTTCCCACCTCCAATAAAATTCCGATTAGGATTCATGGACGGTATAGTACAAGTTTAGTCGCTGAAATCGATCCAGTTGTTCGATCAATTAACATGTTGGCGCTGCCGCGAGAAATATCAATATCTAAGTCAATAAATGTAAATATTGACTTTTGAAGCGCTTGAACCAGCATCATTGCACTTTTTAAGTGAACATTGCAACTTTAAAGTAGTGGAAGCACGGTGCAAATGTCGGTCGTCGAAATCGGTCAGATTGTTTCATCAAGTGGAACATTTTTTTATATCACCGCTACAGTCATATCTCATGGAGCAATTGAATGCCAACCTTGAATTTGGTATCGATAGAGAGGGCATTATCTATATAAAAATAGATACCGCACCAACTTATGCGCTACGCTTTTTTACGAAACGACTACTGTTCACTCACGTCTATGGACTGCTGTTAAATGGTGCACCATGCCTCTTTCGACTAGGGTGATCAATTGTCCTAGTGACGGTCCATGTAACACCACTGTCCCAAAAAAAGCGACAGCCACCGCCAGAGGTGTGACGCATGGTGTGCAAAAGCGCGGCAGCCGAAGCGAGTTAAGCATCTGAAGTAGGGTGACCTTTCTCATATGCACATTGCATTTGATAATACTCCTGCACTGACAAGATGGTCAAGGAGAACTTACTCTATATATTTGAGAAAAGAGGTTAAGTAGCCAACAGATCAAAGATGTTTGAGCCTAATGCATACGATTTTCTTGGGATAGGGTATCCCAAGCAGCATGTTTATGTTAATTTTACGTAAACTCAATGTACATTTTTTGTCCATTTTATATATATTTCACGCAAACCATCATCAATATAATGTCAACCTG